TGGAAGCAGAGAATGTTACAAGAGTGATTAAGACAAGTGATAAAAGCTGAAAGCTGCTGGCTTTGGTGAAGATCACCATTCAGGAAACATCTGGAACTCTCTGCAGTTCACGTCTTGATCAGATGGTTGGAAAGTTCTTGCTACGGCTTGTGTAGTGTGTATGCACAGGTATTGTCCTTGTACTATAGTGTATATGCACAGGTATTGTCCTTGTACTACCCAAAATTTGTTACTGGATTAGTAACAAATGATTTGCAAGGTGGAAAGCAGCACAGTCACTCTGTGAGTTCAGCTATACAACTGAGCATGCTTTAGATACAGTTCATAGCAAGTATCCTATAGTTCTTTTTGCTGGTAATTAATATTCTTATAGCAAAAGAACACTTCTTTTTTTGCTCCAAGTGTATAAATATTTGGAAAAATAAAAACCAAAACATTTTCACTGAACAGTGGATGTTATGCCCATGGAAGTTGTGAAGCCTCCCTCTGACTGATGCTGTATGAGCAGGGGTATCTGGACAGGATGATCTCCAAAGACCTTGTCCAACCTCAGCTGTTCTGGGGTTCTGTAACCAAGTGAACATTTCTTAGTACAGGGGAATGCAGGCTTTTGCACTGTAAATTAATTGTTGATATTTGCAGGCTTAAATGCTAAATGCCAGAATTTTGAACTCTAGCTTTGTTTAAATTTAGAATACTGAGTCCAAGTCAAAAGAATATACAAATATAAAGAACTTCAAATATAAAGACTTCACTAAGGGGAAGGACTTGCAAATATTTGAGCAGGGATCTGAATCACTTCACACTCACATCAGTGAAAAACTGAAGTAACTGTAGAAGGTGCAATCTGTTCTTCAGTGTCTTATGATGAGCAAGTAAATTATTTATCACTTTTTTTTAGGTGGAAAAAATCAATACCAAGAATGTCAGGGGAAAAGAAATGTACATTCTCAGCCTCTGTGCAAGGATTCTAGCTCTTCCTATTTCCACATTTCACTCTGTAATTACATGGACATGACAGAGTTAAGAGTTTTACCATGTGTGCTACTCTTAGAAGAACAGATTGGTGCAACATATCTATTTTCTCAGCAGATAAACATGAATTTTTTTTCTGACGGGTGGTTTTGCAATTGTATTTGGGCAGTCAGCTTTGCATATGGATGCCAGAACACCTGTCACTCAAGAACATATTTATAGAAACTCTAAACTAATTAATTCCCAGCAGTTGTAATGACACATTGTGATAGTCTGTCCAGTGGGGGATTACATCACTATTTTTCTGGACCTAATTTATTTACCTGCTTCCTTTTTTCCTTCTACCTTTACTTGCCATCTGCTTCTAAAGCAAAGATAACAAAATGCTATTCCTAAAGAGTAGTGTGTCAAACTCCTCTCTTCTTTGAAACTGCAGGGCCTGGCTCTGGGACCCAAGTGACACCTGAGCACTTTTTGTGGAATAGTTTCAGTGTGAGGGCTCAGTGCTGGCAGCTTGCTTCCCCCCAGCTTGAGCAAGCTCCTCTGTGGTTTTTGGTACCCCTCTCCCTGTATGGCTATCCCACAAGAGAGAAGCTGCTGCTCCTCCCTCAGCAAGAAGGGCAAATGTGCTTCACCTCTCTTGCTTGTCTGCACAGAACCTCAGGAACTCAATGCTCTTGAAACCACTGCTACCCTGTCAAATTTGGCAGAAATTGGCCACCTTCAAGCAGCCACAAAGAGGTAAATCGACAAGCAAGAACATGACTGCATCAAATAATATCTTAGGAATTGCATGTGCCAGGCAGAAAATGAGGAAGGTTTGGACTTTCTCCCAAGGATGAGAAAGTATTGTCCTCATCCTCTGCAATTTCTTCAGCTATCCAATAGCTCTATGGCTCCACACCTACGTTGTTCCTTCATTTTCTGGTCCAGTGTTAAAGACCATATTTCATTCCCAGAAGGAGAACACTGTAACTCTGCCTACACATGTGCTGTGAAATGAGGGGGGCCCTCTAATATTTACTTTGGAGCTGTTTCATATTGCTTGATATAACTAATTTTAGTGAGCTAATGGGAGAATCAGCATCATCAACTCCTCAACCTAGTGATGATAAACTTCCTCTAGGAATGAGAATATCTTGGACCTAGTCCCATTCTTGTTTGTATGACTACAGAAGATGATTTGCAAGTACAGGGAGAGGGAAAAAGTGGGAAATGTAAGCTTTTGAGTGTTACATATGCTTTAAGCTATGTCACAAGTGCAACTGTGCTTTTTTCCCCACGTATTTTAATTTCTAGTCTTTGACACATACATACAACCAGACACTACCAGGTAAATGTTTGCTCTGGATGAGTGCTTACAGCTGGCATAAGTGGAGCATAAATTCAGTTCTTGAAGAACTTGGATTCACTGTCTTCCTTTGCTTCAGACTTTCTGCATACTTTTGTAATGCTACTGCTCAGGAGAGTTTCTCCAGTTTCCTACATGAGTGAAAAGAGGGAAAGTAAGGAGACAAAACCAGCCATGCAGTGGATACCTTGGAATGAGTGGCTGTAAGGGTTTTCTTCATGTTCTCTGTGGTTTCTGTTTCCTGGCTTTAGAATAGGGACAATGGTTCACATTACAGGCTGTAAATTGCTCACATAGTCCAACTACACTGGGTTTCTACCTTGCCTACACATCATGCTTGGGCACTGTATAAGCAGTTAATATGAGTTTCCTAGAACAGTCTATTCTGTGAGGTATTTGGTTACTTGCAAAACAGTGAAAAAACTAGGAAGATAAGCTGACTGAGCAGGTAGCAAAAACATCAAGCTGTTTACTGACATAAAAATGTTAAAATGTCTGAGATTTTATTCAGACATTATTGTATTTTGTATGACTAGTTTAATTACATCATTATTTATTTAATGAGTAATTTCATCAGATATATATTCAAACCATAGGATTGAGCAGGCTTTAGTTAATGTGGTCCTGTTAGATGCAGTATCTAATGGGAATGTACCAGTTTCATCCCATTTTCATGAAACATCAAAGGTAGTTCATCATCTTAATAGCAAAACTGATGTGAGTAACAATACATTTGGCACCCAAGTGCATCCAGAATCACTTCTGGGTAAGACAAACAAAGTATTTAACTGGATAACTAATACTGATTATAGAATTTTCAGATGGTAAGATCTATTAGTGAGTAAACTAGGATTAAGATACTTGGCCTTAGTTCCCTCTCAGATTTTCTGCATGGCTTTGGAGAAGTGAGCTAAAGATTTTGTGTGCTATTTAAACTTTTCCTTACACCCCAATGGGGTGATGTCACTTGTATAACACTTGACCACAGGAAGCACCTTCCAAGCCAGAAAGAGAAATTAGCAGAATGCTGATTTTTGCCTTCATGCCAAACTGGCTTAATTCACAAGACTATGAAAAATTGTTTATCCACCCCCAGAAACCCCATCAATCTAAACCCAGTGAACTTTTAAAGGAGAAGGATATTTTTATTTTACACATCCTTTTTTCCTCAGGAGATTGTGTGAGCAGTTATACTCATCTGAACAGTAGCACAGAGCTGAAGCTCTCATTCCCAGCTGGTATTCATCTTCATGGTGTCTGTGTTTGTATGTCTTGACTACCAAGAAAATTAAATTAAAAACATATTGTGATTGATTTACTTTTTGGTGTCACTCCTTACTGCTTAGAATAGTGCACATACATCTGTTCTGCAACATTAACTAGAAGGTGTTTGCTCATATTTTTTCTAATCCTCAGTGTTTGACTGTTCTATATAAACCCTGACTCAGCTGAGATTCAAAATTTTCTTCCTGGATTAGGTACCCAGCAAGGTTTTTTTCCACAGAATACAACAATCTCCATTACTTATGCTTCTCTTTTCTTCAGTAGATGTAATTTTTCTTCCTTTGACTGTTAACTGAGAGATAAAATTTCATTTTTAATGTATTCATCCTGTTTACTGACATTTTAAACAAATTTGTTGTTTTTATACTTGCCATTAGTCCATCATAAAGTAAAACTCACTTGTGCTGATGATTGCTGAAGTAACTATTATAAAATAGTTGCATACACAAAAGAATATTATTTCCAAAATATTCTGTCATGCCTTGCATCTCTGGACATTTCTGAAAACAAGCTGACCATTATGAATTTCACATTATCAAAGCCATAGCTGCAACTCCAGGCTGTTTGGGCTCAGAATCATTTGAGATCATTCAGATTCTCTGGAATCAGTTAGCAGAACAGCTTTTACTTTTGGCTGAAGAAAAGCCATCAGGTGAGTTCAACCTGGTTTTGTATAAGGCAAGTTTAAAAAATTCACATCAGATTTATAGGTATAAATCAATGTCTGTGCCTCCTGCTGTGTTTCAGAAGTTGACTGAAAAATTTGAATTTCTGTTTTGGCCACCTAGGCCAGGGAGTGAGAAGGAAGATTTTATGTAGGATTTGACAACTGGATCCTCATGTTTAAAGGGATTTTCTCCTGGATTGACTATAGATCATAGACCCTAGAATGCTTTAAGTTGGAAGGGACTTGAAAGACCATCTAATTCTAACAAACCCCCCCAATGTGGGCAGGGACACACACCACAGGGGCACTCGCCACCCCCACAGTAAAGAATTTCTTCCTGATAACCTACCTAAACCTACCCTCTTGTCCAATCACCCCATGCCCTTATAAAAAGTCCTTCTCAGCTCTTCTGTGTGGCCCTTAAGATCTCCCTGGATGTCTCTTCTCCAGGCTGAGGACCCCCAGCTCTCAGCCTGTCTCCACAGGAGATGTGCTCCAGCCCTCTGACCAGCTTTGTGACCAGCTTTTGAGTCCTGCAGACTCAACCCAGCAGGTCCATGCCCTTCTTATCTTGGGGGCCATACAGCTGAAAGCAGATCCTCAGTCCCCCGTCCTCCCAGACATCAAGTTTTTAACAGGGTTTTTTTAGTGTTTTTTTTTTTTTTTTTTTTTTTTTTTTTTTTTTTTTTTTTTTTTTTTTTTTTTTTTTTTTTTTTTTTTGTGTCAGTGACTTTAACAGAATTTATTGATCCTGATGTTTACATATAGATATTCATGAATACAACACAATTTAGGCCTTTCTTGCTCTATTACAGAAGCCTTTTCTGTTGACTGCATAGGACAAATTTTCTTGTGCAAGGCAATGTCTTTGAGTAGGTGCATCTGCCTGGGTAGCTGGAGTGTTGCCCTGAATAACCCAGTTAAATCAACTTCTGGCTGCATGCTCTGTCTACACCATACAACAGAGGTATAGCAGAATTGGGGAAGACACACTAAAATTTACACAAGCTAAGCCAGCACACTTAGAATGTTAAAAGTAATTAAAGTAGAATTTTGAATTGTAGTCTTTAGCCAAATGCATATATTTAATATTTTTATGAAAGAACGAGTATCAGTTCTGCAATTTCACAAAATAACTTTAGTTTTAATGACTGCTTAAGCTAAGCATAAGGTTTTGGGAGTTTTTTAACCTTATAAAGAGATCTCATGATATGGCTTCTTCATACCTGCTATTGTGCATAGTATGTCTTAATATCAATGTGCTTCTTCCAGATATGGTTTTATCTTTGTGCTATTTGTTGTTGAGTATGACAAGTAAAGATGCTGACTAAAATCTAAAATGTTACAGAGAAAATGAAAACCATCTAAGTATTCAATAAGTGCCCTTTCAACTTGATGAGTTGCCAAGTGGAGCTGGCTGGCAAAACCATGACTAAACAACTTGTGTCAGAATTGTCTCACTTTCTGAAGCTAAAATTTATCACCAATAAGGTTTTGTTGCAGCAAAGAGCATTTCTCTCTCTCCTTCTCAGCAGTCTGCTAAAAACAAAAAAACACAACCAACTAATTGATGTTTCATTTGTGATCTCAGGGCTGTTGAAAAACCAATAGGTTACTTCACTTACTGATAGAATGTCAGGGCTGTGTTTCTTTTTGCAGATGGGACTTGCTTCTGGAGGCAAAATATGAAAATATGAAAATATGAATATCAAAATATGAAAATTCTTTGCGAGAGAATACTTCCTTTTTCCACACAGCTCTATTGCCAAGGTAACCTGGCCACAAAGAGTACTTCAAAGAGATTGGATGGTGCTGTTCATTTGAAATAAAAGCACAATCAATAAGGATATCCAAGCATGAAGTGGTAAGAATGTATTGCTTTATGGAAAAACAATTTTTGTTTTGGTACATTGAGAAATGAATATAAAATAAAAACCCTCAGGGTTGATTTAATGAGATCTCTTAATGCCTGTGAGGTCATTAGACTCAATTAAGTATTTGGCTGGCAGTTACACTTAGCCCTTAAGAGATGAACAGGTCATGTTAACATAGTGGACTACAAATACAGCTGAAGTTACCTCACATTGCTTCATGATGAACAGCTCAGCTACTGCAGAGCTTTCAGACAGCAGGAAAGGATTCAAAGACTCATTTTACTTCAAAAAGTATGTTCCAGCAACCAGCAGAAAAAAAATGCGATGGAAAATCTCTGACTTGTGGAAAAGACATGGAATAGTGCAAAGCTTCCCGCAGGGAGCAGGGCCCGAGGGACTCAGGCTGCTCATCTGGTTTGTTCACCCTAGGCAGATCAGCACACGTGTGTCTCATGACACTTGGTGTGAAAACTGCTGCAATGTTTTTTCAAAGAAAAATAATCGCAAAACTTGGAAGAGAAATTCCTGTATTTTTTGTCTCTGTGATGCAGAGACATCCAGATTTTAGGTTAAAATGGCATATTTGGTGAGAAAGTTTATATAATTTTATTTGTTGGGGAAGCTGACTGTCTCAACAACCAAAAAAATATCTGGAATGTTCCTATCTATCCAGTGGATTTTTCCCTGACATGAGGATTTTTGACAAAGTCTGTCTAAGGCTGTTCCCATTTGGCCAGTGAGAGTGTCTCCTTGACTGGTAACAAATGAGTTCTTGTCAAACATAAGCAGGCTAATAATTCCATTTATTTGAAGTCTGTTTTAGAGAAGCCACTATGAAATCTAGAAAGAAAACAGCAATACAGCTGTCAGTGCCTTGAATGAAAATTACATGAATAAACTTTGACTGTATTTCAAGGAACCAGTCATTGAAACTGCAGAACTTTGAGATGAAATTTTTGTGCGAAAAGCATGACTTTATTTTAAAAACTGAATCTTTTGTTATCTGTCTCAGAAGCTGAATAGCCACGTTAAAGATCTTTAAATAACTATTGCATGCTTCTATTCGACCAGCAAAGCAATGTTGAACTTTTGATTGTCAAAAGCATTTAGATAATGAACGCCCATTGATCCCCCAAAAAGGAATATGGTGGGAGAGAGATTCTCAGTCCTGAATTTCAAATCCTTCCATTCAAATCACAGCAATAAAAAGAGCACTCACAAGCAATAAAAAGAGCACTCACATTGGACATGTGAGTTTATACATTTTGTATTGCCTTCATTTTGGCTTCATGGGAAGGGCAAATTCTGGGTGCAATAGGAGCTGCCATAATGGATGCAGAGAACCTGTTAGGAGGAAGGGGGAGAAGAAAGAGGTGGAAAGCAGGCAGGGAGAGAAAGGAGGTGGAAGGCAGGCAGGGGAGCAGGCAGGATCCCTGCTGGCTCTGCTCCCCACAAGAGCATGGACCAAAACTCCTCCCATCCCAGCGGGAGCTTCCTGTTAAGTTCCAGGGCCACTATGGATGGCCTCGTGCTCAAAATTGTGACCAAATGATGGAGCCAGGGCATGCAACCTGCTCACAGCAGTGTGCTCTTATCAAAGAGGAGCCACAAGAGTGACTAAAGCGCTCAAAACACGCGTTGTGCTCAGACTCCAGCGGGCACAACCTGTTTGCCCTAACAAAGACAGGGCTACGGGGGCACTTAATCACAGTTTGTAACCAACGACATGGGCAACAGCAATGCCATAATTAAGAGCTAATCAGCTTTGCACATGAATGCATAAGGAGAGCTGATGTCTGGAAATGGGATGTATGTAGACTAGAAATCACACACAAATATTTAGCAGTGAGGTCATTTAACCTTCGGAAGAACTTACTCTTACCGAAAAGTGTGGTGAATTTTTCATCCCTGCAATTTGTTTTTTAACCCAGATCTAACATAATTCAGGGCATCACTATTAACTGGGCTATACAGGACATCAGGCTAATGAATAGGAATGTCCCAAATATTATGTACAAATAATCTATGCTGGTGGAAGCACAGAGAATTCTGCCTCTGTAACAATCAAGAGACATATTCAAGTACCCAAACATGGATTTTGGCTAGAGGTAGTTGGGAATTCTTCACTGAAATGATACTCCACTGTGAAGTGTAATTTCCAAGGCAGGAAAAAGAGTAGGATAGCATTTTTTTAGGTGTCATACTTTTCTGAGGGACAATTAAAATTAAAATTGCTATTTTATTTTATCTTAGCTGACCTGAATATGAGTATTGATTTTGTTTTTGACAGTGATCTAAACTATTTTCCTTCAGATCAATATTAAATAAATATAATATAAAATAGCATTTTGCCATAGACAAATTTTACCTTTCTAGAACTTGCATTCATTTATAAGCTGAGTTTTTGGTCAAACATATATTCAGTAATGCCTTTTTTGGAATCATATGACTCACTTTAGCTAATGTGCACTGTTGATGGCTTTATTGTGGTCCTAATGCCTCTCTGTTGGCCTGCTATGGAAGCAGAAGACAAAACTGGATTAAGAGAATAAGATGAAGAAATTTCATGCTGAAATACGACTGAGTAACCAAACCACTTATTTCTAAGAAATTCAGATGTTTTAACTGAAAATGGCAAAATGGGACCTCTTGACATTTCTGAATGCATTTCATTTCTTGGAGTTTTTTCACTGTACTTATTCTGAATCAGAATAATTCCAAACTTTGCAGAGGCCTTACTTTGCATTTTGCCTAGTTTCTGTTTCCAGATCCATTTTTGAAAGTTTGTCATAGAAGACTGGAACTTATGGCAATACCAAGTCTACCATGGTTATGCTTTTTCATTATTAAAAATCCCTACTTTTCTGAATGGAAGGGATACTGATTCTATATTAAGGCATTTAAAAGCTAAAAAAATAGATGAACTTTGAAGGCTGAGCTGCCATAAACAAGTCACAAAAAATTCTAAATTCCTTCATTTCATTTTCCTTGAAAATATTGTAGGCACCTGCAGGCTTGGCAGTGTCCCCAGGAATTAAGGCAGTGTTTATTGGGGTTTTTGGGAAAACAGAGCACTAAGTGTCAAAGGGCTTTTACAAAGCACTTCTGGAATAGAGACTAGTGCTAAAAACATGAAATGTAGAGATTCTGGTGGTGGATAATAAAAAGATGAAGAGAGAGAGAAGAAAAAAAGAAGTTGTAGGATAGCTGTGGCCACCAAGCCTCACACAGCCCCTCGCTGGGAGGAGAACTTGAAGAGTAAAAGTGAAATTACTCATGGGTTGAGATAAAGGTAGTTTAATAGCAAAAGAAAAAGCCATGCACACAAGCACAAGGAACAAGGAATTAACTCCCTGCTTCCCACGGGAATTACCCTTATTACTGCTCCAAAGAGTAGTAATGATGGGGGAAGAGATGGCATAAGGAAAAGTACTATTAAAATTAGTTAAGAAAGAGAAAATAAGAGTTTTGAAATAAATTAGCATCTTTAATATCTGTTTTCTGGATGAAAATATTCCTTGATTTTCTTTTATTTATCTCTCTTTATTTCCACATTTTCAACTTTTTGGGATGATTTCAACTAAACTTAAAGTGGACAAGAATTTAAAAATTAAATTTTCAACAGCAACACAAATCATATGACATTTCTATAGAGTCTATATTCTTAGAAATGGATTTGGTAAGAACAGTTCTAATATAAAAAAAGTCCTAATTTGTCAATTTTTTTCTTTTAACCTGATCCTTGATTATTTAACCTTGATTATTTTGTGAAGGAAAGCATTCTGATTTTTAAAATTAATATTATTTTAAATTACCTTATATAATATTATTATTTTAAATTATTTATATTTATTTATTTATTTATAATTTTTATTTTAAATTAATTATATTATTATTTTAAATTACCTTCCTTGTAATGAATAAGCAAAATGTAAAATTAATGTTAAAGTCCCAATTTTTTTTTTTTCAGTTTTAGGAAAGATCAGTGCTAGGGTGCATTTTGGAACATTTTAAATTAGCTATTGTTCTTGTTCAAAAGGTTTTCTTTTATATTGCCAAAGATCTAGACAGTCTTTCATTCTGTTCCAAACCTTAATCTAAAAACTGTGTTTTTGAGCCTCCAACAGAAAACAATGCACAGAATGCAAATATGGAACAATTTAGTGTGGAGCAGAAGCATACCAATCACCTTACTTGACAGGTTACAATTTGCAATATATCTGGTCATATCCTTAGTCTCATTTTTCCTAAGACACTGTAAACTATTATTTGGTGTCTTGTGGTTATTTGGTAAACAACTCAGATCACTACTTTTCATTCATTTAGGGTTATTTTTTTTTGTGGTTGAACTATTGAAGTAAAAAATATTAATTATGAATTCCGCTGTTTCTTCTGCTTGTGAATCATTCATGAAAGAGTCCTGATTTCTGTGAATGCCATTTTTATTTGTCAGTAGTGTCTGAATGTTTTCAATCAATAACTTACCCCTTAAGGGTGTTTTTGAGGACTGTTTGCCTTGAGATTATTCATTATTGATGTTGAACTATGGGAAATATGACATAGTTTAAAATTGTCTGGAAGACCAGCATATTTTAATTATGAAAAAAAAAAACAAACACTAACTTCCCTCCAAAGGAGAAAAAAAAAAAAAAAGAAAAAAGTTACCAAAAATTGAATCTGGTAAAATGCTTCAGTCCAATAGACTTATTTGCAGAATGTTGAACAGTGTGCCTCTGGTCTCAAAACATTTTCTGTGAAGAATTGGTAACTTTATAACAAACAAAGCCTCATCTTATTGATCAAATCAATTGTTATAAATCATCTATCATAGTAAATTTTATTTAATGAGAGTATGTAAAATATGTAAATATATTTTTATAATTGTATTCGTGCAACCTCTTTTGTATGAAGGTGTTGATTTAAGGCTTCACTGAGGTCCCCTTTGGTGTTTACATTTGCTTGCTCCTGTTGATTTATGCCTAATTATTGATTCAAATGTGCATTATTCAAATGATGGCCTATTGCTTTCATTTCTGCTTTGCTTTCTTCCTTTGGAGTTAATAGCACCATGACAGTTTTGCCAATGAAGGAGTTAGGCACGTTGAATTCTCCTGCCTCAGAATGTCACTTCCCTGTCCTCATCCCATCCCTCCAAATGCAAAGCAAAAGCAGCAATCAATCCAAACTTTAATTTCTTAATTTTTGTTTCAATCCAAACTTCAATTTCTTAAATACAGAAAATAATGTGACTGCAGAAGCAAACTGCTCAGCAGAGGAGAGGCTGGAATTATTTCCTGCTAGCTGGTTTCAAATGTTAAAACTATTAAAAAAACCCCCACCAAATACCACTTTGACGTTCATAAATAGTTTTAGTGTTAAAACCTGTTGCATATGGTGACTGCTTCAGGGTATTGCACAGCCTCCTGAGATGTGACCCAGTGATTTTTAAAAACTCTGAGGGCTCTGGCAGGTTCAGGCTGCATGCTATTATCTACCAAGCTCTGCCAAGATACACACAGAGAGAGCTTGTATCCAAGAACAAATCTTTGACTGTTGACACTAGAAAACAACTCTCCAAAAGATTAAAACACCTAGGCACTTTCTAGACATGCAAAGCATTTCCTAGACATCAAATGTTTTGAAAATGTTTTGAAGGATGTTCTTTCTGTGATTTATTATTTATTGGAGAATTGTATTGGAAATGCCTATTATGGCAAATAAATAACTTTCAAGTTATATGAAAAAAGGGTAGTATTTTATGGTAAGGATTGAATCACAGTGGGTATGGATTTCTCAAAAGTCCTGATCATTTACAGTTTCACCAGAAATCAATGAAAGCTGCAACTGCTCAGCACCTCTGTAAAATCAGACCCTTTAGGAACCAGGATAGTAATGGCAGTTATGATATCAAGCACAAAATTACTAAACCTATAAATTCTTTTGTTTCACTGTTATTCTCTGAAAAGTTATTTACAAAAAAACATGATGTCATGCGGATTTCCATTATTCTGTAACTCAGTGACTTTGTAGTTAACTTGTCCTTTTCAAGGGAAGATCACATTGCTGCTATACCAGACACCTGAAAATTAATCCATCCTTTCACCTTTTTCTTTCACAGGTCCTGCCAATAGAAGTTTTGGGGGATCAGATTCCATCTCTGAGTTGTACCCATTATCACTGGCCTCTTACAAGGGAAAAGAAACCAAGGGCTGTGTAGTTAATGGCACAATAAACATGACAGTTGCATGCTTTGCTAAAAAAGAAAAATACAGCACTATAGTAAAGATGTAAATAAGGCTCATATTTGTTAAGCACATGGTCTAATTCTGCCATCCTCCCTGAAACTGATAATAATATAATGTATCATAATATTATATATTATATTAAATATGGACAGTATCTATAAATATATATAATATATAATATATAACTATATATATGACATATAATATATATTACATATATTATATACTATATATTATATATAACAATATATAATATATATTATATATATATTTTATATCATTTATATCTTTTTTTAATATTATATCATAACAAAACTATTCAGTCTGATCCTGGGTGTTGTGGCTTAGCAGAGATTTAAGTCAGGAGATGATCTAGAGGAAAGTGAAAATAAAACCCATTAATTGGAACATATTGAAGGAAATGGGTTGTTTAGTTACTGTACATTGGAGCAGCTGCCAGGAGGACCATGCACGTGGAGCCAATCCCACCTGGAGAGAGGAATTTTACCAGATTGACTTTTGGGTCACTTCCTGTGTTGACAGATTTTGTGTTTACTATGGAAAAGTCTTCCATGGATAAATGTTGGAAAGGAGATTCAACAAGGCAGGAGGAACAAAATCTGTTCCTCATCCAAACCTGACTTCTCCACTCTTGGTACCCTGAGCTTGCTGTTCCTGAGAGAACATTTCCCCCCTCTGCTTCATTTTCTCATGAGAAGTTTTTAAAGGTCCTGGTTATATCCTTGATCTGTTTATGATTTGTTTTCTGTTAAAAAAAAAAAATAGAACCTCTAAATTTGGACAAGAGAACTAGTTTCTATGCTGCTCTGAAGTGTTAACAGCAGCTCTGTTCAGCTGGTTCTGTTTCAAACCAGTTCTGACAGAGCTGTGCAGTGTTTAGTCACTTGCAGGCTGTGAAGGAAAACAATTGTGTGTGAAAACAGACTTTCTGGCAACAGTGGAATATCCTCAGTAAAACAAAACAAAAGTGAGCTTCCTATCCCAAAATGTTGCAGACTAGTTCCTATTCTGAAAGGGACGTAATGCTGAAGTTCTCAAAAATGTTTCTAAATTACTAACCTAGGCTGGGGAAAGGACTTGGTCAGCAGAATTTTGTCTTAACTTCCTAGGAACTCAGAGCACAGCATCCTTTTTACATCAAACTTCCAAATACTTCAGTATTTCAAGGCAGTCCTTTTCAACTAGAATACTTCTATGGTAAAAACAATAATAAAGAAACAGCTTTTAGGAGTGAGGATCCCTGTAAAAACTGGATCCTTTGCTTGCAAAAAGTTTCAGTTTTCATGAGCCGGCAAAAAGTTTATAGAACTCTCTGACTTTGTGCCTAATCCTGGAAACTTGTTTCAATAAAACAGCAGACTCTAACACAAGCTGATGTACAGGCACCCTCTTGACAACGCATGGATTTGTCACCTCATTCATTTCAGTGGATGTCTTGCCAGCAGGATGTTGATTTCCAGATTTTTGTTGCAAATTACAGCTCTCCAATGTCAGCTTTAACCCTGCCTCTGTCCTTTAGTATTATCTCTCTTGTTTTTAATTAGGTGGTGCAATTTATTCCTCCTAAATCAGTGTGGTGTGGTAAAAGGTCCGTGCTCAGTGCCAAATTGCTGTTAGTAGAATTGCATTTGATTCCAAATAAATTGTGTTGTCCTTGTCATGGTCCAGCCCACAATAGTTCAGACAACATCTTTGCTGACTTCATGCTTTGTTATGACAGCTTGTTTGTCCCTCTCAGAGACAAAATCAACCTTTTTCTCATCCCTAGCTATTCCATGGCATTTTCGAATTTAGATGGCAGCTGTGTTCAAATACACACAGAACCTTTTCGTGCCATTAGCAGGGAGACCTATCCCTCTCTGTAATCATAATTGTTAAATCAGGTTAATTGCACTTATCCCTGGGCTTGGCCTGCAATTCTTTGCATATTTGGATCATCTCAGGGAGCATGTAAATGTTACAGGAAATCTCATTCCCAACTAGCATTGATACAGAACATTGTTTTACTGCCTTGTTTACAGGCCACTCAAATTTCTTATTGAATCAACTGATAAGAAGAAAAGGAACAGGAGATTAATGCACATTCTTTCACCACAAAGAATGCACTAAGCAAAATATCCCAGCAACAGATGGCTTAGAAATAGTATGGGGATGTGATTATGAAAATGGTCTACCTATTTTGATATCCTGAAGAAGCTGGAATTATTTATATATTATGCTCAAACTTGGAGTTAGGATGAAGCCTGATAGCAGCAAGTACCCAACACGAAAAAAAATTATGAAACATTTTTCCAGTATTTCCCATCCTATTGTATGACAGGTTGTGTTATTATGTTGTTATCATGTTGAATATAAAGGGAATATCATTTAATTCACAGTGACCTGAGAAGTGCGAGGGAATGGAGAACCATGCTGTGATTCCTAAACAAAACAATTTTTGGTGCTCAGAATTGAAATAGATACCATGAAGTTACTAGAAGTCATTCACTGAGTTAAAAAACATGTGAAAACTTTTTGACTTCATGGCTTGTTTGCTTGAAAATGCACAAAAATTATTTATGTGTAACCACTGCATTTTTGCTAGTTTGCTTAGAGGACTGGATGTAATACCTCTAATTACAAAGTGGGATTGCTAAGAGAAAATCTTGCTGAGTTCCATTGTTATAGATATTGGGATAGTGAAACAAATGCAACTGTAGCCCATATAAATGTCAAAATAAATGAATAAAGTTGAAGTTATAATGCTGTTAAACAAATGAGATTAAATCCTGAAAGCAACTAACATAAAAATTCTGCAGTTCCAATCAAAAGAAGGAAACTCAACGGAAACTATTGGAACAGCCTGAAAATGCTTTTAGTGAATATTGAAGCTGCCTCTTATTCTAGACCTGTATGTGAATTGGTCTAAAATGGACCATCTGGTACAATAATATACCTTGTTTCATTGTTCAGCACTTTTCATTTCTGGAATTGTTAGAACAGGGCTGATCTAGGCTGATGAAGAAAAGTAAAATCCATTCTCTATCCCTGGACATTGAAATAACTCCCAATCATTGGCCTTTATCAACTGCAGGAGAGACCTCCCAAAAAGCAAGTTATTGTGGATGGAATCATCGATGCCTTCATTTAACAGAAGAAAACCAGCTGTGCACAGATCATGGTGGGAAGATTTCTGGTTAACAGTGTGTGTTGAAGATTGCATCTATGCCTTTTTAAAATGTCTTCCCACAGCTCGTGGCCAAGTGTTTCTAGGAGGCACACTTCTTTCTAAGATGTGTTCTTTTTTTTTCCTATCCCAATGATCTGTTATCATTCAATGGAATCTCTTGGAATCCAATGTTATAAATTCTTGGGGAGAGGGCCAAATGCATCAGTCTTATATTGATGTAAGTCTTATCTAGAAAAGCACTTCCAGATTTAGTTCATAAGTGAGGGAGTATTGGGAAGATTTGCTTTTAACAACCCCCTAATTGGTATAACTAGAATTGTGACATTTCAAAAGTCTGAGGACAAATGAAGTGTGAAACATCATCTCCTATTTCATGCTCTCTATTATTTACTCAAACCTAGAGGGGCTTAATTTGATAAGACTCATTCTAATTTTTCATTGGAATTCCACCATGGGCTAGCTTCAAATTAAGCACAAATACGGAGATCTCCAGGCATGTCAGAAATGAATTGTTAAAAATCCTGTCTGGAAAGCTGCAGTGACCCAGGCTCCAATAAGGTGCAGGTGCATAACTGGGCAAGATGCAAGTTGTGATGCTGATGGCTGTGGGAGTGGGCTTGCCTTCTATCCATCTTCCACCAGTTCTTGCAAAATTCATCCCCCACCTGGGCTGCTTTGGCAATTCGGGGTTTCAAACTGGGTGAGACAACCCTCCACTATCAGTTCCAAGAAGTTTTGGCAAGGAGCCCTTTAGGACTGAAGTGTTCAGAAACAGAAAGCTGGATCATTTTGAATTTCTCATATTAAAAAAAAAAAAAAATCTGTGTGCATCTGAGGTTTTAGGAGGCAAGCAGGTGCTTTGAGAGTGCCTTTTGAACTTGACTTATAATAAAAGTACCTCCTGAGTTGCATTTCTGGAAAAGGCTCATGTAACTGAATCAGACCCTGTTTAACTGAAAAACTAAATATAAAAGCATTAAGGGTTAATGTTACAGCAACTTCAATTAATGATCCAAGACAATTATGCTTAGTTACAAACCATTATAAAGAAGATGCAAAACAGCCATTCTATGCAGTCACATATAGTAGTGTTATTTAACATGTGACCCAGCAGCATATATTATCTAGTGCAGATGTTTTCAATTGAAAAAAGCCTATAAAACTTGCCATCTCCTGGCAAAACTGGTAGAATGTTATTTCTGCAAGAAAAATAAATTCTGCACAGACGTTTCATCTGTCACAGCCATGATCCATAAAACTGGAAAAGTTTTTTTTCCTGGAAACTTGCCTAACTGAAAAGGAATGAGAACAAAGTACATTTTTCACCTTTATCTTTTATTTCTAAATGTCTCTGACATATCAACATATACAGGTGTAGGATTTCTTTATATAGTAAGAGATCAAATGCTGCCAGTTTTGTTGCAACTCTTTTTAAATAAAACTTTCTCTGAAAAAATTGTGTGACTATAAATACTGGAGCTTTGCTCCTCACCTATGTGAACCAACTTGATGTGTAATTAGAGATGTTATATAAGGCAAATGATTAATTAAAATAGTATTAAGTTTTTAATTTGCTTCATATTTTCTCTCTTGGCTGCCTGTTCTGTAATCTAACCAATTATGGACTGGATTACTCATAAAAGTGGCTACATTTCTGAGTGGGTAATGCTTTGCATCAAAATTGTTTTCATGCCATGGGATCTCAAATAAAGTTAGGGTTTAAATGTTGAAAAGTAATTTTCAATTATAAGTAGGAATACTACTATATACTTGAAATGACTGATTATATTTTAGGAGGCAATTGTCTTACTATAAAATACCAGTAGTGAGCTGTTTAAGTACATCACTAGTTAAATATC